AAAATTATTTGTAAAATTATTTAAAAATTTTAATAAATAATTTGTTTAAATTTTTTATTATAATTTCTAATATTTTAATTAAAAAATGTGAGATGGATAAACGCTAAAGCGAATAAAGAAATAACCTTTTTTGTTGGTAAAAAATGGATCATGTATCGCGGAACGTCGTGTCTCGAAAATTATGTAGGCTGGTATTTCAAACCGCACCTCATTGGTTTAAATTTTTTTCAAAATTTGCCATCCAGCCAATGAAAATTCACGCATAGATCCATTGTCTTCCCGACATACACCGGAGAGGCGCGGGATGGTGGATATAGTTTCCATGTTTATGAAAACCTTTCTTTCCTGGGAATCGGCTGCCAAACCAACAGCCACATTTCCAGAAATGGAGAGGGGCAATCGCCACAAGGTTTTCTTTATAATCCCCTCTTCCCTGTCTCCTTCCCCATCCATTCTAAAATCTAGGGTTTTTCAGAGTACGGTTAAGATCATACCATGGCAGCCACACCAGCTTCGCAAACAGCACCGTCCTCTTCGTTAGACAATTGCCCCATTTGTTGGGATGAGCTTTCTACAACTTGTGGAAGAACTCTTGTGACCCTCCAATGCTCTCACAAGTTCCATCTTGGTGAGTTTCTATGTCACCTGCAGCACCTTTTTATATTAGGCGAGTGAGAGTTATCATATCAAGTGTATATTTTTCTTATTTATTAACAAGATTTTGCAATCACTGAATTAATGTTAAAAAAAATAATTTCGTGACATCCGTAATATGATTTTAATATTTTATGTCATGTGTATTTGTTGATCCTAATGTGTATTCTATTATTGACATGAGATTCTGTCAGTCAATACAATATTGGTTTTGTATGCATCCGTTTCATATTTCATTTTTCCTTATCAGACTGCATTGGCTCGACATTTAATTCTTTTGGTGAAATGCGATGCCCCTTATGTCGAGCCATTGAAAATGGCACATGGATTATCCCTGAAGAAAGAGCAGATCAAGCAGCTTCCGAGGAAGATGATTCTGACACTGTAGGTTTTTCATTAATCCCATAGCTCAGTTTATTTGTTATTTAATTGCAATTTGGTTTTTATTTCATGCTTGGTTTGATAGTTTTATGTTCTTGATGGTTGGTTGCTGCATATTCTGATATATGTCGTTATGGATGTCTGCAGGAGGGATTTGAATTTGAGGAATGGGATTTGTTTCCTATTCAGGAAGGGTAAGCAAGCTTTCAATGCAAATTCTCTTGCTATCTTTAATATGATCCATGTTTGAAATACTATTAAAGATTAAAATTTTCTGTTTTCTAATTTTTTTTGCCTCACGATTTACATTCTAATTTGAGCTCTGTCAAGTTTTATCCTTTAGATATTGATCATTATGTGAGCTCTAGGGCTCCATTACTCCTGTATGTGCTTTATATGGAATTAATAACAGTATCATACACTATGCTCTTTAGAATTTGACAATTTTGAGGTAATAATTGCACACAAGAAAAATAGTTGAAAATATATATAGTGAGATATTGTAAAGCCACAAAAATCATCTTTGATTTGAATTGAACCTCTTCCCTTGTTCTTGGATAAGTTGAATAAAAAATCCACTAGATATCCTATTGATGTCTCATTCATACTTTACAGGTTCATGGAATCCACAAGAGCTCTGTGTAAGTCATGATCCTTTTTGTTTTTATTTTGGTTTGTATCGGTTATGAGAAAATTGAGAGATTATTTTTTTTGAAATACTTACGTTTGTTAATGATGCACAGTTCATCGAGCCTTGTCACGGCCTGCTGTCTTGGATATTGGGGATGGGACAGTTTATCATCAGGTCTCCGCTTTTGATATCATCAATCGATTAAACTATGAATGGAATCAACCACCTCTGCCAACATTCAATTCAGTGTTCAATCATTTTGCAACTACAAATTATACAACTAGAGTTGCATCTTCATCCCCGAGAACATCTTCAGGTCGTTCTCAGGGTGTTGTGGATATTGAGTCATTTCTTGAGCCAGTTATTCTTGAACCCGGGTAAGCTTTTTAATAAACTCTGAACAACTTATTAAAAAATTTCAGCTACAGGCATTATGATTTCCTAATTGATCTTATTGACACTTCAATTTGTTTATCTTGCAGTCGGAGCAATGGCCCTACACATTGCAATTTTAACTGGACGTGCCCGCCTAACAATTCACCATCCCCAGGCGTGCGTGCAATGATGTCTGGTCCGAGTGGATCCAATGGTTTACCAAGGAGGTTTCCTTCTGGTAATGCAGCGTTGCAATCCGAACAAGTACAATTTAACGTGCCTCCGAATGCTCCAGCCGACAGGCAGCACCAGGAATTGCCTTCAGTTGTTCAACCTGAAACCGATAATGTTTCACCTTCAAAGAGTTCCTCGAATAACATTGATCCTTCTCTGAAATAGTCAGATTTCTGCCATTTTTACTACAATGAAGATCAGGCTTTTGTGAGAGGAATGCATATAGGGGAATGGTGGGTTTGAAAGAGAACATGATGGAAACTGTACCTTTGGAAATGATTTGCAGATAGAAGTTTCTCTTTCAAACCCATAATTTCAATTATAGTTTCAAACATGAGCCATACACTCAGGGGCAAAGATCCAGATAGCCTATTTGTAATCTCAAGTTGGATATCTATATGTAGAATGAAAAAAGAAATGGAAAAAGTTATTTTTTATTATGCACTTTAAAATTAAAAAAAAAATTATGTTTTAGCGATAAGGTATTGTCTTGTTTGTAATAAATTTTCAATGTCTTTTATTTAATAATAAAAATAAAAAATTTTATGTCTTATTTAACTCATTTTGTATTTTTTTATAAAATAAATAAAAAAACAAAAGATAATGATTTTTAACATGAGAGATATACCTTATTCTTTTATTTTGATTATATATTTGAATAAAAAAGAATGGAGATATAAGGAGATTCAACCCCTTCTATTC